CCCTCTCCTCCCCTCTCTCTTTCTCCCTCTCCTCCCCTCCTCTCTCCCCTTTCTCCTCCCTCTCTCTCTCTCCCTCTCTCCCCCTCTCTCTGCTCCCTCTCCCCCCCCCCCTCTCTCTCTCTCTCTCATCCTCTCTCTCTCTCTTCTCTCTCTCTCTCTCTCTCTCTCTCTCCGCTCTCTCTCCTTCTCTCTCTCTCTCCTCTCTTCTCTCCCTCTCCCTCTCCCCTTTTTCTCTCTCCTTTTTCTCTCTCTTATCCCTCCACCCCTCTCTCTCTCTCTCTTCCCCCCTTTTTTCTTCCCTTCTTCTTTTTTTTTTTTTTTCCCCCCCTCTCCTCTCTCTACTCTCTTTCCTCTTCCCCCTCTACAACTCTTTTCCTCGTCTCTCTTCTCTCTCACCTAACTCTTTCTCTCTCTCCTCTCTCTAACTCTTTCTCTCTTACCTCTCTTCTCCACACTTCTTTCTCCTCTCCTTTCCCCTCATCTTCTAAACTCTTTCTCTCTCTCCTCCTCTCTAACTCTTTCGTCTCTCTCCCTCTCTCTAACTCTTTTTCTCTTCTCTCTTCTCTAACTCTTTCTCTCTCTCCTCTTCTCTCTAACTTCACATTTTCCTCTCTCTCTCCTTCCTCTCCTCTAATCTCTTTCTCTCTTCCTCTCTCTAACTCTTTCCTTCCTCTCTCCTCTCTCTAACTCTTTCTCTCTCTCCTCTCTCTAACTCTTTCTCTCTCTCCTCTCTCTAACTCTTTCTCTCTCTCCTCTCTCTAACTCTTTCTCTCTCTTCTCCCTCTCTCTAACTACTTGTCTCTCTCCTCTTCTCTAACTCTTTCTCTCTCTCTCTATTTTCTTTCTCTCTCTAACTTCTTTTCTCTCCTCTCTCTTAACTCTTTCTCTCTCTCTCTAACCTTTCTCTCCTCTCTCTAATCTCTCTCTCTCTCTCTCTCGTCTCTTCTCTCTCTCTCTCTCTCTCTCCTCTCTCTCTCTCTCTCTCTCTTCTCTCTCTCTCTCTCTCTCTCTCTCTCTCTCTCTCTCTCTCTCTCTCTCTCTCTCTCTCTCTCTCTCTCTCTCTCTCTCTCTCTCTCTCTCTCTCTCTCTCCTCTCTCTCTCCTCTCTCTCTCTCTCTCTCTCTCTCTCTCTCTCTCTCTCTCTCTCTCTCCTCTCTCTCTCTCTCTCTCTCTCTCTCTCTCTCTCTCTCTCCTCCCTCTCTCTCTCTCTCTCTTTGGTCTCTCTCTCTTTCACACACACAAATAAGCGAGGAATCACCGAGAACCAAGTAGCTATTGATCTACTCTGCACACACCTGGTCTCTCTTCTCCCCCTCCTCATCTCTTTCTTTCACTTCTCCCCTTCATCTTCTCTCTTCTCCCTGCCTATGCCTTTCCACCCATTTCCAGTCTAACTTCCCCCCTCCCCTCCTCCCCTCCTCCTCCTTCCCTCTTCCTCCCTCCCCCTCCCCTTCCTCCTTCTCTTCCTCTCCCGAAAGGACTATCATTCAGTTCCAATATTGTTTGTGGGAAAAAGGATCCCCATTGAACGCTTGTCGGTCTCTCTCTCTTCTCTCTGTCTCTCTCTCTCTCTCTCTCTCTCTCTCTCTCTCTCTCTCTCTCTCTCTCTCTCTCTCTCTCTCTCTCTCTCTCTTCTCTCTCCCTTCCTCTCTTTCTCTCCCTCTCCCTCCCCTCTCTCTCCCTTCTCTTCCCTCTCTTCGCCCTCTCCCCCTCTCCTCTCTCCCTCTCTTCTCCTTCCCTCTCTCTATTTCTCCATCTCTATCTGTATCTGTGTCTTAAAAATATCTCTCTCTCTTGTACCCCCCCCCTCCCTTTTTCTTTTCCTTCTCTCCCTCTCATTCTCCTTCTATCTCGCTTTCTCTTTTTGCTTTCGGATCGAGGTGTGTTTTGAAGTTTGCGTCATTCTCTGCTGGTGTTTGTCGCCCGGTGCAGAATCTTATCTTGTTGGCCTTATGATCATAAAACTTACTGTTAGTAGCAGTAGTAATACTATACTAGAAGTAGTATTTTTTGTTCTTGTTCTTGTTTTTGTTGTAGTATTATTTGTTCTTGTTCTTGTAGTATTATTTTTGTTCTTGTTCTTGTCGTGACGCACAGATACGGTAACTTTCTCCCAAGATCGTGTGACATGATTTGATCAATCTCTCTCCTGTTTCTTTTGAACAGCAAGATGCAATGCGCCTTTTCCTCTTTTCCCTGATTTTTGAGAGTTCGGTTGTTGATTACAGTATTTTGATTTTATTGTTTTCTTTAAATTGTATTGACGTGGTTAGATATACATTCTTTGGCCGAGTTTTTTTCTACAACTCGTAATGCTTAGGGGAATCAGAAGCTTAATAGGCCTTGGCATTGCCAGGCGGCCCGGAGAGACATCGAGGGGGACACGAACCCCTTTTTTCTCCCTTCTCTACCTCTATGGTTATGAAGCCTCCTTATGAGAGGTCACGGGGTATGGTTTTAGCCCCCCTACCCCACCCCACCCCCGCTCCCCTCCGCCCCACATGTAAATGCATCCCACGAGGAGGCCGGGCGTGCGGGCGTCCCTCCCCCTCCCCTCCCCGCCCCTGTAGCGCGGGCGGCGAAGAAGAACGTGATTTTCTCCCGCTTTGTCTCTACCGATCCGTGGCCTCCGGAGCCGTCCCTCTCCTCCCGCGGGGCTCGGACGACTCTCGCCTCTCCGTCGGGGGCCGTAAGAGTGAGTGTCCCTTGTAGGGGAGGGTGGAGAGGGAGGGGGTGCTTCGGCAAGGGTATTGTGGGAGAGGCTGGAGAGGTCTTGTGTCGAGTTCGCGGGGGGACGTCGAGGGGCTTAGTGGGGCTACAAAGCCTTTTTTGTTGTTTTTTTGTTTTCCTTTTTTAGCCATGAGTTATTTCGCGATTTCGAGAAACAGGCGCATGCATGGGTGGATGGCCGCTGGTGTCGCACTCACGCGGTGGAGGGCGAAGGTGGAGCGGTGGAGCGAGGCGTGGGCAGCGTCAGCGTGGAGGCGCCTCGAGAGCCCCGCCCATCGAAGGAGCCGTGAAGGAGCTCCAGCTGACCAATCACGCGCTGCATCTCCATCATAAAGGGCCGTTCCCGGGCGGAGGAGGCCAGTTGACGACTGTGGCATCGCTGTCAACCCGCTCGAGTTATTGGTGGCCGATCAAAAGGCTCGAGGGCCGCGGGGTTCGATCAGCGTCGAGGCCGAGTCCTCCAGCGGCGCGAACGACACTCAGTCGCCAGTGACGAGTCGGCCGTGGCAGTCGGTCCTTCGCGGCGGCGGTTGGGAGCGTGTTCTGCGGTCGTCGGTCCGCGCGCGTCGAGAGGCTCCTTCGCCGAGGCGCCGCCGCTGGTCGCAGGAGCTGCTGAAGGCTGGCGCGTGGAGTCCGTGAGCCTCGTGGCCGCGCCTCTGCTATGACCGCGCCCCCCGCATGCGGACCAACGTCTCGGCAGCGGTCACGATGGCCTACCTCGTCGACATAATGAGCATGATGGCGAGTAAGTGGCAGAGGGCAGTGTTTGTGGGGCTGTGGTGGTAGCCGGGCATGGCTCGGCCGCTCGGGGGGCGCAGGACGAGGCGGAGAGGAACGGACGCCCCGCGAACACGCTGCGCCGCCCGCGGGGGTGGGCCAGGTGGGCCTGAGCGCTAGTCCTTTGGGCGTGGGGGGAGAGGGAGGGCGAGAGGCGGAGGCAAGACGCCGTGCCCGACGGCGAGGCCTGTCGGCTGGACACGGACTGTGCTCGGACGGGCGGCGGTGTGGCGTGTTCTCGACGGCCTTAACTCAGGACCATGACTTGCTCCCTTCGGAAATGCGCGGCCCGCTGACATGGCCTTCCTCGTCGAAGTTATTATACTGATTGCCTGTAAGTGGAGGCTTGTTTTGGCACCTTGGCCCCGTCCCCCTCCCCCCTGTCCCCCGCCCAGTCAGGCTCGCAGCCGTTGCCAATGCCTGCGAATCTCTCAGTATATATCCAGCATCCAGTATTCACCTTTGTTAGCGTCTGCAATATAGCTCCTTCACCCACTCACTCACTTCCGTCCTCCTTTCACTTGCTCTCAACCATTGCCCCCCCCCCCCTCTCTCTCTCTCTCTCTCTCTCTCTCTCTCTCTCTCTCTCTCTCTCTCTCTCTCTCTCTCTCTCTCTCTCTCTCTCTCTCTCTCTCTCTCTCTCTCTCTCTCTCTCTCTCTATCCTCTCTCTCTGCCATCTTGCTTTCCTCCAACTCCCTCTCCCCTTTAGCCACTTTCGCCACCATTTCCCTCATTCTCTTCTTCCTTTTCCATCCCCCTATCCTCTCTTTCCCTCCCCCTTCTCTCCCCCTTCCCCCTTGTCTTCTTACCCTTAGATTCTATATTTATCCGCCGTAGAATCCTTCCAGTTCCTCGTCTTGTTAACAATTTCTAGGAATAGTGATTGATAACCCATTGTCCGAATGACATATCCACTTGTCTGTCCAGGGAGCGATTATCCAGATTAAAAAAAGGGAAAAAAAATTAAAAAGAAAATCGTGGGAAGAGCAACGTCGCGGCAGACTTGACCCGAATGGAGAGAATGATGTGCACGCAAGGGATATGTAGGCCTATATATTTCTGTGTTTATGTGCTATGCGTTTGTTTGTTGCGCTAATTGTGAGTCGTAGTACAATTGTTTGCTGAGTTGTTATTCGTGTGTGTTGGGTACGTGGACGATCACGTGGTTGGTGTTTACTCTTGGTGTGTGCGTGGGGGCGTGCTTGGTACGGTATGGTATATTGTGTTAAACGTTGTATTCTGTTTTTGCGGTTTTCTTCCATCAGTCCACTCCTTTCTCTGCCTCTCCTCCTCTACTCTTTCTCTATTCTCTGTCTCTCTTCGCCCTCAGATTTATTATTGTTATGACTGTGATTGTCGACATTATTATTATCATTACCGTTATTGTCACCACTATTGTCGGTGTTGCTAACATCATCATCTCATATAAACCATCATTGTTTTTTATGGATTCAATGTCGCCTCTAACGCCGCTTTCTCCTTCGCCGTTGCAGTAAGCGTGGCCCAGGAGCCGGCCCTCCAGGTGCTGCCGTCCAACATCCTGAAGCCCCTGGGAGACAGAGCCTACGTGTCCTGCAGCGCCGTCGTCGACAACCCAGACCTGGTGACGGAGATGCAGTGGTCCGGACCCAACGGCCAGCAGATACCCAACGTCGAGGGCACGTGAGTACCAACTACCGATACGACCTCTTTGTGTGTGTCGGGGTTTGGGAGGGGGAGGGAGGGAAGGGGTAGGGTGGAGTGGTAGGGAGGGAAAGGAGGGGCAGGATGTGAGGTTTAGAGTAGATGGGAGGAGTGTGGATGGTGTGGGGTGGGTAGGAACGGGTATGGGCAGGAGGTTAGAGAGGGTTAAGGAGGAAGGGAAGGCGTTAGAAATATTTTAGAGAGAGAGGGAGAGGGAAGGGAGACAGTGAGGGGAGTGTGGACGTGTGTGCGACCGTAGGTGTGTGTGTTGTGTGTGTATTGTTGTTTATTAATTTAGGTCGATTTTCGGTCTTTTGCGAAATTGGAAAAGTGATACAAATGCAAAATCACGAAGAGAAGAATAACAGGAGATAGGGATAGGTGTGGAGTGGTTTTGAGAAAGAGAGAGAAGAGAGAAGAGAAGAGAATGAAAAGGAGGGAGAGATAAATGAGAGTAGGAAGTAGGGAGGGAGAACAACGAATATTTTATTTGAGATGTGTGCGTGCGTGCGTGTGGGCGCGCGTGTTGCAGCGCTGGTTCAGGGTCAACAGTGTTTAGTTCTGGTCTCAAGGAAAGGCCGGTGGGCGGAAGGAGGTGAAGGAGACTTAGGGCTAAACTCTGCTTCTTAAGGAGGCGGGAGTCAGAGGGAAAGGAAACGGGACAAGAGAAAAGATGAAGGAAAGAACGAGGGAGGAACGGACGAGAAAAGAGTGCGAAAGTGTGTATGAGAGAGAGAGAGAGAGAGAGAGAGAGAGAGAGAGAGAGAGAGAGAGAGAGAGAGAGAGAGAGAGGGGAGAGAGAGAAGAGAGAGATGGGGAGGGGGCGGTAAAGGGGAGGGAAATAAGTGTGCGATGAATGAGAGAAGGGAGAAAATAGGAAAGGTGGAGGGAGGTGGGGATTCGGGCAAATGGTAGAGAGGGAGAGTAAGATATAGGTAAGAACTAACATCTGTTTTTTGTTTGTTTTTCTTTCACTGGGGGGTTGAAGGACACCTCTTGTTTGTATTTGTTTGGTGCACATGGAACCCAAATCACTTGCTTTAGAATTGTCAATGGATTGTGATCAATTCTTCAGACATATCTTATAATTTGAGGATGTATTTGTTATTTTTTTATGATTGATTACGATGTGTTTATAAGTTTGTTTCAGTATTTATTCAAACACAGGCTTCAAACGCCACTTGCTGACATATGTTTGGATTCAAATCTACGCTTTTTTTTTAAATCATGTGTCTTGACCTCTGCTTTTTCCTGTTTTCCCCCCTAATTTCTGCGGAGCCAGACTTGATGGCAGGTAGGCTGGGTGAGGTTGCTGCACTGGAGGGTTGACTCTCCGAACCCCACTCTTAAGCTCAGGTGACCTCTTGGCCAGTCTTAGCTTGCCTTGTACATTATGTTATGGCCAAATAACCAACCAACCCCATGATCCTCCTCCTCCTCCTCCTCCTGGGTCCTGGTCCTGGTCCTCATCCTCCCCCGCGTCCTCCTCCTCCTCCTCCTCCTCCTCCTCGTCCCCCTCGCCCTCGTCCTCCTCTCTTTTGACAAGTCTCCTCGAGGGGGGTGGGGTTGCTTTGGCCACACGTAGCTTCTCGCAGACGTCAGTGTGTTTTTCACGGAGACTTAGAGCGTCCAGACGTCAGTGGCCACAAGCTGACGTAGACTAACAAAAGACCTTCCACTTTTTTTGCATTGTATTTTGTCCCTTGTTGAAAGGCCACTGACTAGTTCCTGTATAGTAATAGTTCACTGGGGGGAGGCATGCGGCAAAGAGAGAGAGAGAGAGAGAGAGAGAGAACGGGAGAGAGAGAGAGAGAGAGAGAGAGAGAGAGAGAGAGAGAGAGAGAGGAGAGAGAGAGAGAGAGAGAGCGAGAGAGACAGAGACAGAGAGAGAGGGGAACCTTGCCAGTCCAAAAGAGAATGGGAATGCACCTTTATACCCTTGATAGACAAGAGCCTGCATCCTTAAACAACAACAACAACAGAAACGATGGCGTCTTGCTCCTTTGGTGTTATCTTGCAGCATAGCGCATTTTTATAGAGCATCCTGCAATGCCACTTTTGAGATACTCTTACGTGTATATTCTCTCATCGGTTGTATTATTGTATTTTATATTTCTGTTAGTCGGAAAGTGGATGTAGTTGGGTGTAGTAGAGGGAGATAGGGGGTGTTTGTGTGTGCGTGTGTATGCGTGCGTGTGCATGTATGTGTGCGCGCGTTGGACGGTGTGGCGAGGTGCCTGCATGTCCCCAGGCGCTGTGTATGTGCCCCCGCCCACACGCATACACTAGTATACTGCCACACGCCCATCACGGTCACCACGCAAGCCTTGTTATTCCCACTAGCTGGTAACCCCTGACTAGTCCATGTATATTAGATAGTGTAAATTAGAGTAATCCAACCAGACGTCGCACTTGTTTCCTGTAAGCAAGTAAGCAAGCAAGCAAGCAAGCTGAAAAAGAGTTAGAGTAAGAGTAAGAGTGACGGCCGTATGCTTAAAGAAACTGTGGAGTACCTTTCTGTTCAGCGAAAAATCCTCTGCTAAGGAGTGATTCCGCAAAAAAAAAAAAAAGGGATATGAAAATCACATTCTTGCGACTGACAGTCCTGCAGCTGCACCCAAAACTTTTTTTACAAACCGAGAGAGATTTTGGCGCGAGGAAATTGTCTTTTAAGAAACTGATTGGCGTCGCGCAGTTTCCTTCGGCATTCGGCCTCGAGAAGTGAGAGTCCCGAATGAGTGAGTGAGTGAGCGAGTGAGTGAGTGAGTGAATGAGGCGAAAAAAGAAAGAAAGAGAAAATAAATCCCCGCTTCTATCGTTTCAGTGATTGTGATATTGTGGGACGAGAGCGATTAGCTTCAACTTCTGAGAAATCATTTGGTATTTTGCACAATTACTTTTGAGGGAGACTTTTAATAGATATGAATAGTGCTCTTACTCTTTGAGTGTTCATTTTAGAGGCACGATATATACAAGCGAATGATGGATGAGTATGTGTGTGTGCGTGTGTGTGTGTGTGTGTGTGTGTGTGTGTGTGTGTGTGTGTGTGTGAGTGTGTGTGAGTGAGTGAGTGAGTGAGTGAGTGAGTGAGTGAGTGAGTGAGTGAGTGAGTAAGCGCGTGAATGTATATTTCTGTATATCACTATATGTATAGTATTTATTAACTTGCACGTTATTCTGTACAGTCCATGTGTCTCTCCACTTCAGGCGATTCCGCATAACAAAACGATACTCATTCGGGCTGGAGACGAAGGTGCCGCCGTTCTCGCGAGGGCCGGGGACTCGCGCGCGTTCCGAGGCCCTCTGGCACTGGCACTCCCCACCCCTTCCTTCCTTTCGCCCCCCCCCCCCTTCGGATTGACCGGTTTGACGTAATCCGAGCCTCGCTTGATGCTCGACGGGGCCTTGGGCGGTTATCAGTCACTTCCTCTCTCCTCTCCGCCCTTCGCTCTTCCACCTTTATTGATCAGAGGCTCAAGGAGGGGTGGGGTGGGGTGGGGAGGGGGGGATGGGGGAAGGTAGGGAGGGGAAGGGGGTTGGGGAGGGGGGAGGGGTTAGGGAGGGAAGGGGAGGTTAAGATAGGAGGGCGGGATATATTGGGCGGGGGGGGAGAGGGAACAAGAGATAGGGGAGTTTAAGAGGGGGGGGTACTACTTCCAAAAAGCCTAAAAGCCGACGCACCACAACACGTATAATCTACAGCTTGGAGTGCCTCGTAAGACGGGGGTTGGAGTGGGGGGAGGGGGGGGGGAGAGAGAGAGAGATTTCAGAGTGCGTGTTTGACGAGCGTTGCGTGCGTGCGTGCGTGCGTGCGTGCGTGCGTTCTCGGCCGTCGTCGATCCTCAGCGGCAAAGACAAACCCGCGACGCTGCAACAAGGACGCCCGCCTTATCTCGGGAAACGTTCGATAAGCTGAGGGAAGGGCGTGGGGGGGGAGGGGGAGGGGGTTGAAGGAGGGCGGCGAGAGGAGGTTCATTGGGGGGGAGGGGAGGGGGAGGTTCATGGGTGGGGTTTGTAGGGGAGGGAGGGAGGGAGGTGGATGGGTGGGTGGGGGAGGTTTATGGGGGGGGGCGGATGGGAGTGGACGAGGGGGAAGGTTCATGGGTTGAGGGAGAGGGATGGGTGGGGGGGGGACTCGAGAGGGAAGGTAAGGGAGGGGTAAAAGGAGGGGAAGGGGACGTCGGAGCGGAGGGAAGGGGAGGGAAAAAAAGAAGGGGGAGGAGGGGAGGGGGGGGGAGGGGGGCTTTTGATAAAAATGGCGACGTGTATCGAGGAACACGATAGGTTTAAAGTGGCCAGTGTACAGCCGCCATTATTCACTTGTTCGTGTCGAGTCAAGATGGGATGCAATTTTTTTGTTCTATTTTATTCTGGTTTGATGTTTGTCCTTGCACAGGCATCGGGTATTTGTCCATTTGTTTGTACACTTCATTTATTCGTATTATGGTTCTTCCCGGTTTGGTTTAAGGGGAGGGGGAGGAAGAAAGAAAGAAAGGGGGAGAAGGCGAGGTATGAGAGGGGAAGGAGGAGTAGGGGAAGAGAAAGTAACGAAGGGGAGAAAGGGAAGGGTGGCTAGGGAAATAGAAAGCAGAGAAAGAGAGGAGAGGTGGGATAGAAGGGAAGGAGGGGCTGAAGGGATGGAGGGAAGGAGGAGCAGAAGGGATGGGATGGAGAGTCGGCCGAAGGAGTGAAGGGGAGGGAAGCTGCCCGTGGGAGGGGAGTGAAGAGCAGCCGAGGGAAGGGGAGGGAAGCCGGCCGAAGGAGTGAAGGGTAGGGAAGCCGGCCGTGGGAGGGGGTGGGGAGGAGAACACCCGAGGGAAGGGAAGGGAAGATAGGGAAGATCAGCCGAGGGACCGAGCAGCGACAGCGTGTGTGTGGACAATCAGCGCCCCATCGGAAACGTGCTCTGTATGCATTGTCCCGAAGGCGGCGCTCCCATCGCTGACGTTAGCGCGACTTCGGCTCGCTCTCCTCGCTTTTTTTTATCTTTTCGACTTTTTTTTTTTTTTTTTATCATTCTTATTTTAGTTCATGCGGTTGTCCTGCCCCGCGATGCTTCTGCGGCTGCTATAGATTATCTCCCGGTAGAAGATTTTGTTCTTATTTTATTCTAAACATGAACGCTGTTCTTTTAGCTGTTTATTCATTTTGTTTTACTTGTTTTAATACCGACTGGTTATGATTTCATTTGCTCCGTAGCTGCCAGAGTTGCCATGCACGCAGCCTCTCTTAATTTTATGTTGCGCAGTTGACACTTGGGGAATGCCTTCAGTTACTCATCGCGTTCTCAACACGTACAGGAGTGTGGGTCAGAATAATTCTACTTGCCACATAAGCTCATACTAAGTTAGTACAGTTTGCCGTCACTTAGGACATCATTTTGGTAAATGTGCTCTAAATGGCCGGCTTGTTGTCATGGCCGACGTTTGGGAGTAAAAGACCATAAAACAACACCGTTTTCTATGTGATTGGGTTGCTAGGGGTGTTGAAGGGTAACTGCGACAGTCGACTTTCAGACGAGCAGGGAACATCATCGCTGGACGAAAAAAGTGACTGCGAGTCCGACTGAAGCAGAAGCAGTGACACGACCTTCCTACTCACTCCCCTTGTTCGGCCGACGTCTCCGCGAGAGGCCACCGTTATACTCTTTTGTTGTCCGAGACTGTGACCTTTGTTATTATTATGATTTTATTCCAGAAATGATAAGAACCAACATAACATTTTTTTCGATACAGTTACTATGCATGAGACTGTTGCATGCATGACTGTTAGCTGGCCATCACCACATGGTTGTATGCAGGAAGGAATGACTGCATAAAACTTCCCACAGCAGATCCTGTTAGTACTGAGTATGGATCTGCTCGTGTTAATTACAGTATTAACCAAACTAGTTCCCGATTGAATAGAGAGAGGAACGCATAAAACTAAGAAATCCATACGAGAATTAGATTGAGAAACATGCATGCGCTGCCATCTTGGGTGTCTTTACACGTCGATGTCAGAATCACCATTCGAGTGTAAACCTCTTAGTGACCAGTAACGTACCTACTACGTGTTACTGCTGTGGCAGACGGAGCATGCGAGCGTGCCCTGGCGCCGGCCGCTGTCCCTCCAGTGCCAGGGCGCGCCCACGAAAGGTCTCAGTGGCTGGCGTTATGCTCCGGCCGCGTCTCGTCGGCGAATCCCGTTTTCTATCCCTGTCTCGTTTTCTTCTTAAAGAAAATGGCTTCATGTGGTTGTCTTTGCTGTGTGGGCAGTCGCGAGCATAACCAAGCCACTGAGATGAGAGACATAGAGGCATCATTCACATAGATAGCATTTTGTTTACCATTTGTATGTAGTTCTAAATGGCATATTGGACAAAGTGATTCTTCTTGAATTATTTTTTTTATATATCCCCGTGATCTTTAATGCCTGATTGACTGCTCGGTTTAACATTTGTGTTTTCCAAGTGTACAGTGTCCATATAAAGCTGAACTGTATATTCTTCATGTTCTTTCACCAACAGACGAAGGACAAGAACCTAAAAAAAAAGAATTAAAAAAATAGATAATAATAATAATCAAAATGGGGTCTCTGTAATATATAATTTAATATCACCATCAGAACCCCTTTTGAATGTGATTTGCCTTAAGAATTCAGAAAGAAAGTGGAGGAGAAGGTGGTGCCATCTGCCTTTTCTCTTTCCAAAGTAGTTTAATGATTTAAGAAAGATGGACATTTATTTTTTAAAAAAGTGAACTGAAAAAGGACGAAACTCTTCATATACTAATTTCCAGCCTGCAGATTCCACTTTTGTCAGTCAATTTGTTTTTGTTTTGTTTTTTATTATAGCATTTGACCTCGTCTCTTCTTTTTCCTCTCTGAATGTAAATTTGCTACTTAGTCAGATTCCTTTAGTTATCTGTCTTCGTCTTCTTTTATTTATTTATTCCCTTCTTGTTTCTCCCTATATTTCACTCTTGGGATAAATGAAGATCAAAGATACAGTTTCCTTTTTTGAAGCGTTGACAGCCATATCAGATATTTTGCATATCAGATTAACACAATTAATCCTTCTAACGTTAAAAAAAATGCTTGGTAAACAAACAAACAAAAGAATACAACAGCAAAATAAATAAAAAAAACGGAAAATAGTACACTTAAAAAAAAAATCTTGATGGATGGATCACTGCAGCTTGTAAACAGTCATGCATGAGTGGCGTCGGACTCCCCCGCCCGGTGTCTAACATGGCCTCGCCCTTTTTTGCCTTCGTCAGGATCATCGCCATGGAGAGCATCGAGGGCTCCGGGAAGCTCGACCTCATGATCCAGAACCTGCGGGAGGAGGACTCGGGAGAGTACGAGTGCACCGCTGTCTACGCCGGCAACCAGAAGCTGTCGGTGAAGCTCATGGTGGACTTCTTCGGTAAGGCATGGGGGGGGGGAAGGAGGGGGGGGGGGGTCGTCTGTGTATTCTTCGTCTTGGTTTTCTTCGATTTTATTATTATTATTATTATTATTATTATTATTATTATTATTATTATTATTATTATTATTCGTCTCTTCTTACTCCTTCTCCTGCTCTCCCTCTTTTTCATTTTCTTTTTCTTTTTTTTTCATTCTTGTCCTTTTCTTTTTTTCCTAATCCTTTCTTTTCCTTTTTTTTCTTCATCCTTTTTTTTTGTCTGTTCCTCCTTTTGCTCGTTTTTTTCTTCCCTTTTCTTTTTCGTCAACCTTCTCTTTTTCTTTTTCTCCCCCTTTCTCCTTTTCTTTTTCATGGTCATCATCATCAATCATTTCTTTCCTTTTTTGATCTTTCTTATCGTTATCTTATTTATGTATTTGTTATTCTACATTTTCTCAAGTCATTTGCTTATAGGTTTTGGATAACAGCTTTATTTTTGTACAGCGTTTTTCTGTTAAGTAGAGTGTGCATCTACAAGCATTAGAAGTTGAAATTTTAAGAAAAAATTAATTGCTCTGGTGATTTGACATTTGGTGTCTAAATATAGATTGAACGTAATTTGTTTGCGGTGAAATTTCTTTTTATTTAGTTCTTGTGTTATCCAGTATCATTCACGAAGACCCCTCTCACTCGACATTTCTTCGCCACAGTGGACATCGACTTCGGCGACACGCCCGTCGTCCAAACGCCCATCATCAACGAGGAGTCCAAGATCCGCTGCAACCCCAAGTCCAAGCCCCCGCCGCAGGTGGACTGGCTGAAGGACCTGCTGCCGCTCAAGAATGGTAAGGGGCCCTTGGGGTGGGGGGTTGGTGGGGGGTAGTTCTTGTGGGAGAGGTTTGTAGTTTTGGGGGGTTAGGGGTAGAATGGGGGAGTATTGGGTTTGACGACTGGGAGAAATAAATAATGCAGATGGAGGTCATGGGTTAAAAAAGGGTAGTTCTCTTGATGGGAAAAAAGAAAGGAAAATGTCTGCAATGTTGACTGATGTGTTGTCTTGTGATGTTATTGTAGATCGCGTCGTTTAAAAAACTTCATTCCAATAAAAGCCAAGAGCTAAGATTATGAGATCCTTGTTATTTCCAGATGAAAACCACATCATCCAGCAGGACGGTGTACTGATCAAGAAGGTGACTGAGGCTGACGAGGGCACATACAGGTGCCGCGCGCGTGTGCCTGAACTCGGCTCCATCGACTTCCGAGACATCCAGGTGGAGGTGCACATCCCACCCTCCATTGACAAGCTCCCCGTCGACGAGAAGGGCGTGGAGAAGGCTTCTGTAACCTTCGAGTGCGGAGCCACTGGCAAGCCTGCACCCACTTACTCCTGGGTCAACAAGGACAACACTCCCCTCGAGGGCTTGGAAGGCTACTACGTCGACACCGAGAAGGGCATCCTCACCATCATGGACCTTCGCCCTGACCACTCCGGAAGGTACCGCTGCACCGCCGAGAACCCCGCAGGAGCCGACACGGCTGACGCCACGCTGCAGGTCCTCACGAAGCCCAAGGTGGAGCAATACCTCAACGTTACCAAGGAAGTCGACAGTGATCTGGAGATGCGTTGCATTGCCACCGGCGACCCCATGCCCAAGATCATTTTCCAGAAATTCTCCAATGACAATCCTTTCATGGATGGAATTAACAGCGACGACAGAATTGAAGTTGTGCAGACGGAAGACGACCAGGGCCGTCGTGTTGGCATGTACGTACCGCTGTAATTATACTGATTGAAAAGTAGAATAATGTCCCCCCTCTATCTCTCTCCCTTCTGTCTACATTCACTCACAATTTTAATTCCTAAATTTCACCACCAGCCTCAAGATTCGAGGAGTTGTGCGCGGCGACGATGGACTTTACACCTGCACTGCAACCTCAGAAGGAGGAGAAACACAAGTGTGGGGCCATATCACGGTTGAATTCATGCCTACCTTTGAAGATCAGGTCAGGGATGTTGAATGGTCATGGCAGCAACAACCAGTCAATCTGACGTGTATTGCCACAGCTATTCCAAATGCTACAAGTAAGTTATTATTGTCAGCTAAGAGATACCCTAATAAGTGGAAAGCAAATGTCAACAAAGGTATTATTTTGACAGGACATCTTACCACATTTTTCATCTTTTTACATCAACAGTTCAGTGGTATCTGCGTAATGCTGAAATCGACAAAGCTGACCCTAATTTGGAAGTCCTCTCCTTTGGCCCTGTTGGAGTTCTGAGGGTCACCCCAGTCAGAAACGAGTACTATGGAGATTATACTTGTGAGGCCACAAACCGACTGGGAATGAAGGAATTTGACATCAAACTGAATGAAGCCCATGAACCTGGACCAGTAGCCAGTGCCAAGGTAAATTTCAGTCTCTCAGCCCATGTGTGTAGATTGAAAATGGTCTTGACAGGCTTTGACAGGCTTGGATTATACATTTACGTCTAACAATACAAGGTCTGACTTCAGAGTCTGTTATATATTATGTAATATGTAAGCATTTTATCTTGGTGTAATCCCAACAGGTTGAGAAGAAGACAGCGACAACCATTACTTGGAACATTGTGGGACCAGTTAACGATGGTGGTCTACCTGTCTTGGGCTTCCTTGTGGAGTTTCGTGAGAAGGACCTTCCATGGGACAATGCCAAGTCTCATTATTGGACTAAAGGTATGTAAAATGACTCCGACTTTAATGACAAGCATTAAGGTATATTTTCTTCATGTTTTACAATTCTCTTGAATTTTACTTTCAGATCAGACATACACTCTGGATAAACTGGAGCCACTACAGACTTACATATTCCGTTTTGCTGCGAGAAGCGAAGTTGGTGAAGGAGAATGGAGTGGTGAGAAGGTCAGTTTTCATTTCACTTTGAAATTGGTAGAGGCCTTGAACATATTTAATGAAACTAAGACACTCTTCTACATTTATAAAGCATTCAAAACACACTGTAAAATTTTGTTTTCCTTTTAAATATTTTGTCACGAGATGTATATCTGCTCACAGGAAGAACAAATGCCACACATCTCATCTCCTGAAGAGCCTCTAATCTTTGATGTTGAAGAAGGTGGTGTGACAGCCATCCCCTACCCCAACAAATTCACCCTTCGATGGAAACCACCTCTTGACAATGGTGAACCTATTGATATTTACCAAATCATGTATTATCAGGTGAGTCCTCCTCCTTTGTGTTCTTAAGAATTTTCGCAGTTGGATCTCAGATATTATGGAAGTATTTTAACTGGATATAATGGTAGCATTTGCCTTCATTATTTATGCTAACATTTCAGTACAAGCATTTTACCAAATAGTAATGTGCACTTTATTGAGAGGCAGTAAAAAATTGATAAATAAATTGTCTTGTTCATTCCCTATGACTAAACGACTTTGCTGTGGATTATCTTCATCCAGGTGCAAAATGCATCAGGTCAGTGGGAGAGCATTGGCACCAAAAATGCCGAAGAAGTAGAGTACCCAGCCACAGTCTACACAATTACGGGTCTTCGAAGCAGCACATTTTACAAGATTGAACTGCGAGCGCACAATGCTATTGGATTTTCTACCCCGGCCGAGGCAGTCATCAAGACTGCGCATGGTATGTAAAATGCAGACAAGCAAACTTTTGCCATTAAGTTTAAAGAAAAGTAATGCAAGTAGTTTACTTGGGCTAATTGTTATTTTTCTTCTTCTTTAACAGCTTTAAACTTCTGTGTTTTTTTTAGTTCTTTCATTTTAGGTTCAGATACAGGTATTGAGTTCGAAAATTATTCTTTCAGATTTTCTCCCAAATAACCTTTTTTATTTTTTTTTCAGTGATTATAATGAACAGTGAGCTATTGATTATTCATTGATTGCTATTCCACACCAAATTACCTGTGGTATACTTTGTTTACATTTCATTTTCTCCATCTTCAACCAGCACTCTCTATCTCACTCACCCTCTCGCTCTCTCACCTGTTTTTCTTCCTTCTTTAATTTTTAGATTCATTACCTTGCATTCATTTTATTTGTAAATTTGTGTATATAGTGAATGTCATTTCCAGGCATCTTATCTTTTGGCAGTAATTTCTTGCATGTTAAATCATCATATGCATTTTTAGTGTTTGATATTGCTATCGGATAAAAAAAAAAAAAAAAAAAAAAAGGAACATAACATGTGTGAATAGATTAGTTTGCAAAGGTTTTTCTTTTCCTTCAGAATATATACATAATGACTTAGATGAAATACAGTGAGAAACTTTACTTTGTTACCAAACAATCCAGATAAAAGTAAATAGCTGCTTCCTTTATTCATTTTAAATAACTCTTCAAAATTTATTGCTGATAGAGGTAATGAAATTAGTAAAGATAATTAGATATTTTTTTTTTATATAGCAGTATTATTCAGAAATTTGCATTCTAAAAGTAGAATTTTTAAAGCCATTCTTTTCATTGAATGTCCTTTGAATGCCAAATATTGCATCAGTTTGAAATTTGTTTACTGGTATCTTTAAGTGTTATATGTGTGTGTGGGCTGTTGATGTATGTTCATGCGTGTGTATTTGTGATTTAGTTTGTTTTCATTTCTGATTCTACCTGCAGTTTGTTTTGAAATCTCTGTATTAAGCTGTACACTTCATATTGATGCTGCGCATGCTTAAAATCAGTAAATTGACTTTGCAGCACTTGTAAATTTGCCTCTCACAGTTAAATCCACTTTTCACTTTTAATGTAAGATAATTGTGGAAAAAAGTAAATTATCACCTCTTTTGCATGTTTTGATATATGCCATATTTGTATTTTGTTCTTTAAATATTGATTCAGCATTTGCATATTTGCAGTATATATATCATGTAGATGTAATGTAGAGTGTGTATGATGGATGTATGTCTGATTTGATTTCCTCTTCATATCATTTTTATTTGTGGTTTACTGTTATTATTGCCAGCGCCTGTGTGGTTCAAATGTGAATCCCTGATCATACAGGCAGGCCCCTCACAACCCTTTTATTTATTTATTTTTTGCTCATTAATGGCACAACCATGTCTTCTGTGCGGGCCCTTCTTTTTGTGTGTTGCTGAGTGTGGGGTTGTTGTGTGTATTACAGATCCATCGGCGCCGCCAGGTAGCGGGTCGGGGTCGCCAGTGCAGTACAGTAGCGTTGCCCCCTCCATCAGTGCCCCCGCCCACGGTACCTTTCTGCTTACTGTCTGCTGCTGCCTTCTCTCTGCCCTCACGGCCGCCACTACGCATTAGGCCTACATCATGCATACTTACCAATTATACTCAACTAGGAATCAGAATCAATTTTTTTATAACAGGACCAAAATAAGTGATAAAGGAAAGAATATATCTATCTATCTCTTCTCTATATATATGTGTAGGCAGTTGAATTAGGGTCAGATAATAATAGGACTGTTAAAAGATTTTCTGATGGCTGGATCTGCCAATTTGCAATATTTCTTAATGTATCCTTATGCGTAAGGAAATGGAAATAGGTCCTTTCATGAATATTAAGTGTTTAAATTTGATACTGATAATGTGAACTGAGTCAAAAGTTCACTTGCTACTGGGATAATCATTTGTTTTGTTTTATTTTTTTTCCATTTTTGTATTTTATGATTTTTTTCTTGGCACACAAAACTAATAGAAATCAGATAGTAGTTAAATACTGTTCTCCTTAAATTGAGAGAGAGATAAAAATACAAAATGAAAAAAATAAAAATAAAATCACGGAAAGGTAATCAGTTCCTCATAATCTCACACAGCAGAATAAGCTTCGCAAATATTGGCCATTTACTGATTTGTTGTGATACCGAAGAAGGGAAAGATCAGAGACTACATAGGATGACGTTTGAGTGACATTCGCAATTTGAAACGAAGCATCATCTCACAAGAGGAAAGTGCCAGATGACATAGGGACTTTAATAGTGTAAAGCCATGAAACAACTAGAGCCTTTTGCACCATTTGACTTTGTGCTTCTGCTTGAGGTACTGATCCAAAGACACTTGTGGTGGTGTGTTTTGAGTGGAGTCAGTGATCCGAACATTGTTATCATTTTCATCTTTGTTTTTTTTGGGGGGAAAAGGTTGGTGACAAGAGGAAAAAGATACTTTCTTCCCATTTTTCCCTTTTTCTCCCAAGTTGAATGTTGAGTTTGGAGATAGGAGAGTTGTATTGTTGTCAATACTCTTTTTTTCCTCGTATGCAAGATTTATGAATATTGCAGAGTGCTTAGTTTTGTTTAGAACATCATGTTGGCTATGTAGATTTTTTTTTACATAATATTTTTGGAAAGAAACTGTTTAGTTTATTTTTTCACAATGTAGAACACAAACATTTTTGAATATTTTAAATAGAAGTGATTTAAGTACACGACCAATGACTAGTGAATTCTTGAGCCAGTGAATGGTGCAGAATATTTAACAAAAGTTGACCTTGTTAGAGTAGCTTTAAGACTAGTATCAATGAGACATGTGTCATGTGACATGCAGTAGGTGAGACCAGGTGCCACAAGGGTGCAGGTCAGATGTGGGCTATTGGCCTTCGGCAGGATAAGTTACGTTCCAATGAATGCCAAATTTTTTTGCAGTATTATGCAAAATTGTTCTCGTGCATTTTAGTGATATCAAACCTTGATGATTTGGTATCAGAGTGCCAGTGAGGAGTTGGTCATCAGACTTAAAATATCCACAAGTAAATAGATTTTTCCCTCAGCAGCAGGCATTGAAGCCTGTTGTTAACTTGTCAGTGGAACAGTCTTTGGAACAGCTCTTGGTGAGGGGTTTTACCTGCTGGTCTGAATGCTGTGGCAAACCTGCACTGCCATTTGTCTGTTAACATTTCCTTTCTCTCTCTCTCTCTCTCTCTCTCTCTCTCTCTCTCTCTCTCTCTCTCTCTCTCTCTCTCTCTCTCTCTCTCTCTCTCTCTCTCTCTCTCTCTCTCTCTCTCTCTCTCTCTCTCTCTCTCTCTCTCTCTCTCTCTCTCTCTCTCTCTCTCTCAATCTCTCTCTCTGCCGAGACTTTTGTTAGGCTGGTATTACAATCCTCTTGATTGGTGATTGCCATGTTTAACGGGAAGGTTTTTTTCACAACTGTAGTGTAATAAGCTAATTGCTCTGTATGTGAGAACTGATGAGTGGATAAGTAATTTAATTAGTACATGCGTTGTTCTATAGTGATTTACTATGAATGTTGCAAGTGTTGATGCTAAGGCTTGCTCCCCTGCAGAGTACCATCCAGTGTGATCATTAGTAATTGCAAGCCTTAACAACAACGCTTTTTAAACATGCTTATATAAGTATGTATTTGACTAAGTATTTTGATACAGCCTTTAGGTCTCGAAATGTGTTGAAGGTGATAATGATATTATAAATATGGAAGATAATATACTGAAAATGTGTCAGTGATGGTCACTATGCTAACCTTTTAACCCTAGCCTGTGTCACTGTATATATAAAGATCAGCTCATTGTTAGTGATAAGCAGTTAGGAACTTCCAAGTTTCCGATAGTTATATGTGTGGTGTAGTGGCGGCGTGAAAAAGAAAAAAAAATAAAGGGCTACTCTTTCTGCTAGGCATTGTTGTGTTTGCTAAAAAGCTCAATCATTCTGTTTTTTCTCTCCCCCCCCTCTCTCTCGTTTTGTCTCTTCCACTTAATATTTACCAAACCCTCATTACTACTTCTACTACTGCTACTACTACCACTACCACTACTACTATTCTACGCTGAGGAGTCGAGGTAGGATTGTCCAGCCTCAGTCCCCCCTCGCCAGAAATCCTACTTTTTCTCTGATTTTTTTTAGTGTCCTCTTGGAGTAGTGGCGCCGGTGGGAAATTTCAATTTTTTAATGGTGGCATCATCAGAAAGTGTGGATTTTTTTAATCATGTCGAACATGTTATCACTTCGTTTCTTTATGCGTTTTGAGGTTTCATTTTAGTTTCCATCCATTTTTGTTGTTGTTTTTATAATTAGTTTGATTATTTTCTGTTCACAACTGAAAGAACAACTTTAGATTTTCATTTTTTTCTTCCTAATAAGAAAGTGGCTTTTTTATTATATAAAAAGATGACCTTTGCGATTGAGAAACGAAGTAAGGTTATATGTTCTCCCTCGCTCGTGACTGAGGAATTCCAAAGCCAGGAGAGGTTTTTGCAGAAGACAGTGGCGATATGTGACTCTTGTCCTTTTTGGAAAATCCCCACAGAAGGTTTTGGAATTTTGTTTCATTCACGCTGCCTTGTATGTCCATGGTGACCACCATTCTGGCCTTGTCAACAATTCCCAGTGAAACAATTGCACAAGATGACTACAATGATCCCCCTTTTTTTCTTTTCTTTTTTTTTTTTTCTTTTTTTTTTCTTCTTCTTAAAGTCGATGTTTGAGTTTCATGAGAATGAGAGGATGGTGAATATTTAATGCTATAGTTAATCCATATTTTGTTTTATTTGATTAATCACATGGCTTCAAGGTAATCCTCAAGTTGCATGTCTCACTTCACAGAACTTGGATGTCACTTTGTGCATTCCTCAATGAACGGGAAGTGTACTTTATCCTGTTAATGTTCCCGTTTCAGATGCAACAGTTTTCGCACACGGTGCCCATTCTACTCACGAATGGCACCGAGACCTTAAAACTGTTGCAATCTGCTAACCAAACGGGCCACACCCCGGCGCCACTCTCACTAGAGCACAGTGGTGTGGATATGCACCTCGATAGCACGCAAAATTTGTTTTATTATAATTATTGTTATGTAGCTTAACCCTCGTCACTGCTGACTCTTGCTGTATCCATCACAGTTTGTATTTATTTAACTCTTTATGTATATATATACACATATACATATGCAAAATGTATATATAGTGAGTGAAGCTTGGTGGCTGATGCTCCCACCAGGGTAAGGAATGTGACCAGTGATGGCATGTAGCAAGAGGCGTGGTTGGAACGAGGGCGACGGTGTGTGTGTCTGCATGAGTCCCGGCACTGGCGTGTTGCTGCACCGTCTGCTCCACCAGTTGTCCTCTCACATTGACCCAGTGTTTTTTTGTCATGAATGTTGATTAAAAGATCTAAGTGTTTTATTTTATTGGTTTATGGTCCTTATTACATTCCTCTATTTAGTTTAGTCTGTCTATAAACCTTTAGCATTTTTTGTGTTATTTATTTTTTACGTTGTGAACGTTTTATATGTTTTACTAATAGTAGGGAAATCCGTTTTTTATTTCTTGTACGTTGTCAGTATCCATATAGGCTGGCTAACCTCCCATCGTAAGCCCTTAGTAGACCATTGTTCCAAAGGTGCGGCTCTGGCTGGGGAAACTACAGCTCTTAGGGACTCTCGTGTGGCAGTAGGCGCCAGTATATAGTGAACAAGTGAACACCCCCTCGACAACCATGATAAATGTTCCTTAGTTCTGTTGTATTATCACCCAGTGAACCTAACATGAACATACCTCGCTCGTGTAAAACCGATAACATTTAAGACACTTGTGGTTGTTAATTGTCTGTGAGAGCGCTTTTTGAAAGTCTAGAAATTACCCCTCATATAAAGAGGAGCTACTGCCACCACTGTGTGAAAAATACCATTGTTTACATGGTAGTTGCAATCAGTGTCCTTTTTTAGTCGTAGCCCTATTAGTATTTTTCCCTTAGAGAACATGTTATTTTTTGGCCGGCATGTTTTTTTTTTTTATGTTTAGAAAACCATAGCTCTGACTGCATTAGGTCTGCTAAACTACATTGCAACCACAGTAACCTCCTTCCCGACACACCCCAGCCCGTATCCAGATTGACACACAAAAAATGGATACTTCTGGAACAGGGTGTTAAGGTATAGTGAATGTATGTTATTTCATTTGGAAGAAATCGCTCATAGTTCTCCCTATGAGAGCTGTATGTTCCCCCCCACCCACGAGCCCCCCCCCCCACCATCTAGACCACCTCGGCTCGCTCTGTCCTAGTTATTTCGTGTGCAGTGGTTCATTCCTTTGACTTGTTCATCCCGCGCTGGTCACCACTTGGCACGGGCAAAGCCATTGACTTGCCCTCTGCTAGTTACCAGTTGCCCAACTTATCACTTTAATGCTGAGTGTAATTAAGAAATTGTACAAATTGTTTGGAAATACAAGATATTCATAAGATGAGCCTTTCATTTATCACTTCAAGGACGTTTAGAGCAAGCCTTAATGATTGTCGACTTGTAAATTGGCTTTTTATAAATACCTGTTGAAATTTGGTCCAGGATCATCAAGGCTCGTTGTGAAACATTTCTGTGTGGCTTTATAAAGAGTGAAACTATTTACCTGTAGAATGCTGTATGCTGTACACCCCATTAGAGAGAGAACCCTTCCGACCATGATCCTCAGTCGTCCAATAGTTTAGCCGAAGAAAAGCTAAAATCAGTCTCTACTTTTTTACTTCTAGTAGTAGCAAACTGGTTACACATTCCTTAGCGCATAGTCTCTTGGTCTTCATACACACACAAATGCTGATTTTTCAAAGCCTAACATATGCGTAGTGACCCCTCCACCCCCGTACATTGTCACTGTTTTGTACACCAATCGCTCTGCCTCGCCCTAATCCTTTCCCAACCTCACCTCTGCCTTGAATGCTGCTACCGAACACTCCAGCACTTCGGCATCACCATAACCCAGATCCTCACCTCTTCCCGCCACTTTTGTGTACTGGGATCCACTAGATCTCCAACCTCCCGTTATAAAACGCGCTTCTCTAACCCCATGGTGTCCGCCAACCTTGCCTTCACCTTCACCACCACTACCTCTCCACCCCTTCCAGGCCTCTGCCTTGCTATCCTAATCCACAACCCTGATTTTTTACTATATATTTGATAAGAGTCATTGTGTTTTGTCTGATAGATTTCCTTCCCCGACCGCCACCCTCGACCTTGCTCTTGCCGTTGAAGAGCGAAGTAATTATACCTCTTCGATTAGTAGTAAGAGAGAAGCCTGAAAAGAAAACAAAAACAAATATGAATGATAGTGTTCAGGTATTATTCCCCTAACTTCAGGACTTGGATTGTTCCACCATCGCCTAAAACAGTTTCAAGACCATTTCCAATAACGTGTGTGCGTGTGTATATATACATTATATTTATATATATATATGAATATGGTCTCATTTTTTAGACTAGTTTGCTTCGATTTTTTAGATCTAACTCAAGTTTTACATAACCGTGCCTTTATAATATAATGTTAACACAGTTGTTAATGGGATACGCAAGGCTTGCACACAGCTGCCGCTTGGGCAACTTGTTCATAACAGGTATCATTAGCTTTGCTCTCGCGACCTCTAGGTACCAGTCCCGTTAAACCTTTCCCGACCAAACCCTTTTTTTCTTTCTCCTTACTACTGATTTTTCCCCTAAGGAAATCAGAGTGACCCAAACTTTGCTCTGGGACTGATTATTTTGGAATACTTTATCAATCAAGATTAATCTCAACTGTTCCACCCAGTCTTTATCTTTCCTGCAAGACTCTTCAGGTATTTCCGTCCCTCTCCACTCCGTCCTATCCTTGTCCTTGGCGATCCTACCCTAAAGTGTCCCTATCCCTGCCCTGTCCCTCCCCCCCTTACGTGACACCCCGGCCCATCCCTCGACCTACGGTAGTTGGTGTTTTCTGGCTTGGGCCCCTAGGGAAGCCTAGCTAGGGTTCCAGCCACCTGTCTACTCTCGCCAATGTCAGCCAGTACCACTGTCTACCGTACCCGTACTTCTGCCTACCAACCCAACAGTGCAGCGACATGTAGTGTAAGTGTGGGCCAGGATAAACGGATTTCCCTACAACAGCGTCATCTTGTTAAGCCTTGAGCACCTCGACTATCGTAGTGGCTGTTAATGTTCACTACTCGTTCTCTCTTTTTCTCTTTCTCTCGTTTCAGTGCTCTGTCTATCCTCTCTCTTTTACCAAACGGGCAGGAGGGCTCTCCCACATATTTGTTAACATTTAATAATTTACCTGTAAGGAATACTTTTAGAGACAGACAAATGTTAAAGGTACATAAACACTCGCTTCACGCTTTCACAGTGTGTAGTGAAAATAGGATAGTCACCGTAGAAACACCACACTAGTTTTATCATAGAAAACTGTTCGTCCAATGACATGCAACATGGTAAGGGTGAAAATAAAGCTTAATATGGTGGCGGGAAGTACTTTGTGGATTGCTATAGAAAGGCCAGCAATAAAATGCCACAGCTTCTGCTTCATGTATATATTAAT